CGGGAGCTGCCGGGAAGGGCCGCGGGGACGGGGGAGCGAACTCCGTCAAGGCGCTGGAACGGCACCGGCTGCTGGGCAGAGGCTGTGGCTCTCGGGGGGGGGCAGTCCAGGGCTAGGAAATCGGGGAGAGGAAAGTCCCTGTGGAGCGGGGACAGGGCGGGCTCGCACCCTGGGGACTTGTTCCTACCCGACCCAGATTGCCTTTCATGCTGAAATCCCCTCTGTCCTTGGTCTACTCTGCTCCATCCATGTGGACCCGTTCCCTCTCCCTCCGTATAAAACCGGCAGAATAAAGACGATATATCCCTAGATTTGAGGTGTGAAAAAGGCCAGAAATCCCTGAACATTATCATGTGTGTTAATGTAGCGCCTATCATCTCTGCCAGGAATGCTGTGCCCCCACTTCATTCATAGCTGCATGAACAGAGAACAAAGCAGAAAGTACTTGCCCCAAAGAGTTCTCAATCTGAAGCTGTCTGAGGGCAGGAGTCAGTCTAACCTGTGGCCATTTTTCTCCCATTGTCTTGCTGATGCCCTCTGCCGTATCTGTGTTCTGCTTCTCTGGTTATAGCTATGCCAGGACAGGTGTCAAAACACACGTAATGTGTTTCCTCTTCACCGCTTCTTGCTGGTGCACCAAAGGGTACATAACTTGACTAAAGCATTATTAGCATTTAGAATTTATCACTCCTGGCCAGCCAAGAAATTATCAAAGAGGGAATCCCCCTTACAGGTTGGGATGAAAAGAGATAGTGATACATTTGTGATAAGACTTTGTTGTAGTAACTAATGAACTGTATGAATTACAGTGACATTTTTCTGGGAATGCAGCAGGTAAAATAGATACACAATTATCTGATAGGAAGAGAGTTCTAGCTTTACTTTCTGATATAGAATTCTAATTATTTCTCTATTTTTTCCTGTGCGTGAAGAGTCCCTGCAAGGAGAGTTCCAAAGGAAGCTTTACAAGGAACTGCTGAAAAATTACAACCCTCTGGAGCGACCAGTTGCAAATGATTCCCAGCCACTCACCGTCTATTTCACTCTCAGCCTCATGCAGATCATGGATGTGGTAAGTCCGTAACCTTCTAGGAAATTATTTCTTTAAAGGGGTGGATTTTTTCTTCCTAGAATGGAGACTTGTGATAGCAAAAGAAGACTGCAAGATATAGGAAAGCACAAATAATTGAAGACACGACACCGAATTTTGACTGCCTTTTTAAAAAAGTAAACTTAAAAGTGAAGTTTGCCTCTTCCTTGGATCTCTTGTCAATATTTCCCAACCTTCTTAGCAGTATGAAATATTTAAAGTGAAGTTCAAACTGCATACTTTGCCTTTTGAATCCTTAACTGTACTTTGAACCAACAAGAAGTGTAGTCTGAGGTGTGGGGGGGAGGGTCTGCAAACCCAAAGTTCTTGATTTCTGGTGGTTACTAAAGAGCTGCTTATCTTTGGAGATGAATGGGGGGAGAGGAAGAGGGTGTCCTGGACAAAATCCAAGTTATATTATTTCTTATTTAGACAAGATTGCTACATTTTATATGCCTAAATTTTACCTGCTGTATTTGCAACTACAGTTGTTTGGTGTATCAATATATACTCGTGCAGTGCTTGGGAGGCTTTTAAAATGTGCTCTAGGATCTTTTGGGTTCAAATATAAGTAATTTAAACATCATAGCAGCACAGAGATCAAACTCTACATATAAGTGGCTCTACAGTATTCATTTTTACCAAATTCAACTAGCTATGGCCACTAATAAAGAAGTTAATTACTTAAAACTAGCAGTTAGCCTCAAAATGCCACTCTTTTTCCATCAGATGCTTAAAGTTCAAGGCACAGTAAAATTAAACAAAAGAAAAAAGATGGGATTATTCATGACAAGTGGCTTGCTTTCTGTCTCCTTACAAGCTGCCGTTTGCCAAAGTCCAGACAGTGCTCATTTAGCATCTGAAGGTCAGCACAGAGAGAACTCTGCAGATTTAGATGCTTATAGTTTCTATGCTAATTTTTGCAAGTTTTGGATGTATCAGTCCTAAGGTGAAAACTTAGGATGTGCATTTCCAGTATGATATTTAATATTTGCTAAAGTGAGAGTAGGCAGTTGTAATCAGTGAACTGTTTCAGTGTCAGTGCCACTAAAGCCAATAGGCAAAATATGTCAGTTCTAGCCTTGTCTACGGCACTTGAGTTTTAATATATGGGATGCCAACGAGCAGAAGAGAAGCTACATGGAGTCATATATTTCTTCAATGACAGTGAGGGAAGAATATGTGTTATGCAGAGTGCAACAATTTCAATGGGTGCTGGCAGACTGAACTCGATGCAGACTGTGGCAGTACTGCACAAGAAACTGAGAGCTAGGAGAGGACAGCCAGGTATTACAGCAAAACTTTGATGTGAGATAAAAGCCTGTACCACTGGGCTGATATAGCAGATGACATTAATATCCCACTAACTGTATGTGGGCATGCTTTTATTATTAATGATGTTTATTATTATGGGTGGGCTAGAGATTTTGTAAAAAAGGGATGTCCTCACATTGGACACTCTTCAGACACAAGTAGTAGGTGACTCCTGGCACAAAGAATCTGTCTAAAGAGACAAATAAGCAAGAGTGCCTTTGGGACAATCAGAGACAACAGAAAAAGTGTAAAAGCGAGGAACATCACAAAAGGAATAAATGATACTGTGTTAATAAGGGATATATTAATTTCATGATTCGTCTTCTAATTATATTCCTTTAGAATGTGTCAAGGTAACACAAAGAGGGGCATGCAAAGGGCAGTGGGAGACATGGAGGACAGGGCAGGTCAGAGGAATGTAAGAGAAGGAAGCTGAAGTGAAGAGAACGAAGGGCAGTGTGGGACAGGCAGTGCTTCAAAGGTCTGAATGCCTGAAGGTCCCTGCAGCTATTCTTGCTGGCTCACACCTTCATGGATCTCTTGCCGTGTACAGCAGGGAATGTGAAGGACGGGGCAGAAATAATCACTCAGGTCTCTCGGCCCTGTATCATCTGTGTGATGGAGCTTTGGTCTATCTCTTCTTTCCAGTGCATCAGGCCCCTTAGTGGCTTCTGCAGTAGCTCCTACAGGCTGGAGCCTTCAGTTGTAGCTATGTATTTTGTGTATCTCTGGTTTTAGTTAGATTTTCATCTTTGGTAGTAATAGGTCAGTATGGTCAGGAAAACTTAGCCAGTCTGTTCAAGGCATGTTCAAACTGAGCACCTGACCAAAACTCCGTGTTTTAACTTATCTCTGCAGAACTCAACACAGTACAAGATGCTTCAACTGATTCTTAAACCAGGCTTCAATAAAAACCCTTTCCAACCATGGGCTTAGTTTACAAGGCCGCCTTCTGTAGCTGCCTTCTGGGAGATGACCTCCTGCTGCAGAGTCTGCCTTCTCACAGCTACTGAGCAACTTTTGCTTTGGTACAGGACAGTACAGTCCCCTTCAAAGGGTTTTTGACAACTATTTTGTACAACTGTGTGTTCAGGAAACACTTCTCTAGTGCTGGGTTTATTTTAATAACCAGTATAAAAACCCTGATGCTGTGGGGTTTTTGTTGTTTGGTTGGTTTTGATACTGTTAGCACTACAGTACATACAATATATTTCAGAATTATTTCAGAACAGGAGAGCTCGAAAAAGCACTTTGATCCGAAATAAAACAGGGTTGTGAACAGACCAGTTTTCACCCTAACTTTTAGAAATTTCTGGTGTTATTCTATATAAACACATCTGTCCTGAATATGTTAGGCTAACTTGTTTTTAAGTATTAACCACCCTGGTAAAGGTTTATTGTGTGGCCAAACCCTCTCAGTGATGACACTGCTTACAGAAGCCTTTTTTATGTCGTTAAAAACATTTCCTGAATAGAACAAGCTGAATGCCCACAAGACTTTTTCCTAATTAAAATTACATCTATACTATAAAGGTTTCCTTTGCTTTTTTATGAGTTAATAGTGGGGTGCTCTTCTCCCCACACTCCTGACATGACTATAAACATGTCCTTGACTACTGCGGGAACAGTTGGCTGTTGAAGATGCAAATGGCTAAAGGACAGGCGGCAGTCAACTTCACAGAGTTAAGTTTCTTCTGGAGTTGTCAAGTTTAATTAAAAACCATATAATCTGAAGGGCAAATATCTACAGAGCACTAGACAGTCTTGGCTAATATGATTCAAAAGGGAGATTTTGATCCTATGTGCCTTTCAAAAAAATCCCTTCAGAATCAGTAAGCCACAGTTTTTTGTACTGGCAGTTTAGTTACAGCTCATTCTGCTTGCTATAAAATTGACTGCATTTCTTTCTCGGAGATCTGGGATTGACAGGCAAAGAAAGAAACCAACCATGAAGTAAATTAAGCTTCACACTATAAAATAAATGAGTTTTCTGAATTGTCAACAAGAAGCCAATGCTGGTGGGAATGACAGCTACTTGCAATAACAATTACTGGTTTAACAAGCTAGAAACAAAACATGTCACCATCATACTTTCCTGTAGTTTATATATTCACTTTAATGGGTTTTCAGCTGATACCAGCTGTATTGGGAGTTAGACCTATGCAGAGCAGATACGTCAAATCCCTGCCAGAGTAAGATTGAGCCAGGCTGCATCCTGGCTGCTAGTACTCCTTACTTGAAGTCTCTTCCATTCCACTTTGACTTTGCTGATAGGAAAGGGGAGACAGTATATGAAACCTTTTGCAAATACAGTGGTTATTTCTACCTTACCCTTTTAGTTTTAACCCTTTCCTTCTAAAACTAGCAATTATTTCTACCCTGTGCTTGCAGATACGTTTTTACTGGTATTGCATGTTAATATGCATGCTAGTATCAGGACTACATAACAAGGGACCATAAGTGCCGATTGCCCCAATGTAATTTAATTCACTATAAAGTTAATGAACTGTCTGTTGATAATGCAAAGTGGCACAGTAAATTACACAAAGTGTTGTTAAATGGGGAGGGAAAACAGTGGCAGCATGAGAAAAATGCAGTCTGGAGACACATGAATGAAGAGGAGAGCTAGGAAACTGGGGAGGGAGGTGTGGTGTGTGCTTGGAGGAAAAGTGGGAATGCATGGTAGACCTGAGAGCCAGCAAAGGAGTTTGGAAGAAAGGTGGAATTTAGGTGGAAGTGGATGGGGGGGCAAAATGGAAAGAAAAAGGTTTGAAAGGAGTGGACTTAAAAAAAGCTTCTGTGTCAAGTTAATAAGAATTTTCCAGAGAGAGATGCTAGGTATCTTTCAGTTTGCTTTATTCCTGTATTCCTTAATAGAAAAATCACTGTTCATAAACCTTTGCAAAGCAATCTTTCAATTAAATCATCCTGAAGTGAAAACAAAGTGGAGACAGGCAACTGGCCAGAAGTGCTCTTCAAGGACATTTGAGTTACTATAACAACAGAAGATGGAAAAAGATGTTTCTTTTGCTCTTTAAAATTATTTATTTCAATTTTTTTGAAATTAGAAATGCCAAGCAATTTGATGAAAGAAATGAAAAATAACCTACTTCCTCTCTGATTTGCTGAAATCTTGTTTCAAAACTCCTTGCAGTAAAGTAATGAATATTGAATGAATAGCCTGATAATAAACATCTCTCTGGATCTGAATCAGAAGATGTTTGGAAATATCTGACTTAAGAAAACAAAACAAAATTTAAGAATAAGTACAGGAGGAAAATCTTAACAGACAAATGCTAAGGGTATCTATATACCTTAGCAGCAGGGGAGGAAGAGGGGTTAATGGTCCGTTGGTCATGGTCATGGCTTTAGTACAACAATGTCAAAAAAATAAGGAGCATGATGCAGAGAAGCTACTTATTTTTCTCTACATTTCACCTCATGGAAACCCCACCACCTGCACAAAAAGCTAGTCTTTGGCCTCTGCCTGTCTAATATTTCAGTGCTGGCATGGAGTATGAACCTAACATGCTTAGGAAAAGCTTCCAGCATATGCATTTTTGAGAAACAGATTCTTGAAATATGCTGACATTATATAATTTCCACACTGGATAGAATTACAGCCACCACTTTTTAAACACTGTGTGGAGGCAAACACCTTCTAATGT